CATGGCAAACAAATTAACTCCGCGCAGCCCGGAGGCTTACGCGGCAAAATACAGACAACACAAAAGCAACAAAGGCCGCCGATATGGAGGGAAGGGAAAATGACTGACCTCTGACCTGATTTGAGTTTGTTGACCAATCACAACCCTGGATCAGCCACACTCTCGCGATGTCTCGTGAGACTGAGGATCTCAAATCAATCCGACGGTGTTTACGTCTTTTCCAGTGCTAATTTTTCGTCTTTGTGGTAGGATTTACCTATCTTTAGTCATATACATGGTGTAAACTAGCGGTACCGGTATATACTCGTTACTTAATGATCCGGTATTTTGGACCTGTACCGAAACGTTTTTAACGGTATTGGACCGGTACAGTGTACCGGTCCGCAGCCCTACCTCCCACCAGTATTTCTCCGAAATTGCTAAAATGTGAAATTTCATTTTCTAGAACGTCAAAAATATCATAAGTTCTATTGGTGTGTATGGTAGATCCGAGTGGACTTATATATACAGAGGCCAAGTAAATGTCTTTATCATAATTAAACAATTTTCTATCCAATTTTACCCAAAGAATGTCTTCGCTTTTACTTTCTAACTTTGTAACGTATGGTTTATATTGTTTTTTAAACATGAAAAGAATGCCACCTGAGTTTCGCCTGGCCTTTTTTGATTTAATTCTAGTGCTACTAAAATATAAATAATCTGGAAATGATACCTCACCTTTGTGCCACGTTTCCAATAAAGAAAAGAAGTCAAACCCATCTAGTTGGCTAGTGAATTCTCTATCATCTAATTTGCTACCGAGTCCATGGACATTCCAAAATCCGATGGAAATGCCAAAGTTTCTTTGAATAATTCTATGAACTGTCTTTGTGTCCGTGATCCGATGCGGAAAACACATGATAATCCGGAGCCACGGGGTCGTTCATTGAGTCTGAACCTTGAGCCGACTGTACGTCTCTACCAGCTTCTTTCCGAGCCGTAGTAGGGGAATGGAGGTGGCGCGAACCAGCTGGGCGGCGGCCTGAAGATCGCTGGAGTCCCTCCGTACGCCTCTGCTGGGGAGGGCCATTCCTGCATCCATCGGTCAGGTGTCGGCGTAGGGCGATTCCTCGGGGCAGGGGCGTTCAGGTCGTTTGGAAAGGCGGGTGGGGCGAAGTATTGACGATTGCCAGGTACAAACGCCTTCTGTTGTGGTGCACTTGCCGGTCTACGTCCGTTTGGAGGCACTCCAGGAGAAGACTTAGGCTGGCTGTAGGGAGCATTACTGTTCCCGTATGGGAAGGGAGATGGGTTAGCTCGTCCACCGTACCTAGTTTGTCGGTACTGATCTGGCTTGGCAGGTCCGGCATAGCTTTCTCGCCTGGTAGGTTTGTTATTAGACGCTTGTCTCCCCTGGTTGTACAGAGAGGCAGTGTTGCTGCGACCAGGGTTGACTTTGTTACTGCGACCATGGTGGCGTCTAGCGTGGTTCTTGTTCGATGTAAGACCCAGGGCGCTTGTTGCCTGCCTTTTCAGGTTGAATGCCAGGATTCTAACTCCATCACTGTTCAGATGATATCCGTCTCTTTCAAACATGTTGGGGTTGTATTCGCCATCAGACCACATCTGTGGATGGTTCACGAAAACAAGTGAATCGTTGGACTTACACATGCCTTCTACATGCTTGTTTATTGCTGTGGTGTCCTTATTCAGGTTGGGTCGATAGTTCGAGTCCCTTCTCGGGGGCACAGCGGAGATCACGATCTCGGCTTCTGGGAATAGTGACCTTGTGGTGCTCACTACCAGTTCTATCTCGGAGATGACAGTTTCACTTGACTTTGCGATAACGTCGTTGGTGCCCATGTGTAGAATCACGGTGTTTGGCGTGATGTCTTCCTTAGAGATAGTTTCCATGACTGTTGGTGCTGTGAATAGGTTCGGAGACCAGTACGGCATGGGGATGTCTGCGGTGGGACACAGCAGGTGAGGTTTGAGTTTATGTGCGTTTGAGTCTCCTATGAGCACAACTCGCTTTTGCTTCTGGGTTGATTCACTTGCTAAATCTTCCCTTTCCCCAGTAGACACTTGGTCATCACCAGTTGGCTCTGGTGTAAGGGCATCAAAACGGTTAGCCGTTGGAAGTGTGTATTTGGGGAGGGTTTCTGTCGTCTCAGTTGCACTTCTCTTCTCTTCCCGTTGGACCTTCGGGGATTGTTTGTCGTCTCTGACGCACCTAATGTCTTCTCTGACGTTTGACACTTTTACTTTGAGCACATCTTGTGACTGTCTAATGTCGCGCAGGTCTTTCTGCATGGTCACAGAGGTGCTTTGTAGAGAAGCAATTGACTCTTCTAGGACTTGAACTCTTCTGCGTAGTCTTGCGTTTTCTTCCCGGAGGTTTCGCAGCTCAGCGTCGTCCTTCTTTGGGGCAGAGTTGACAGAATCAAGCTTCTTCATTATGATTTCCATTTGGCTTGACACATGTGCCTCAAACTTGTTAGCATGGATCTTTGTATTGGCCAGGGTTGATTCAAATTCCATCAGGGCCCTTTGTAATGCTTCGCACTTCGCGGGGGAATCTGACAGGGAGGTGTCACCTTCTGACTCAATGGCAGCGGCCCTGCGTGCGCCTTTTGTCTCCGTGGTGTTGTCAGCATTTGCATTAGACAAGTTGTCAGTTTTTGAGATGCCGGTTGCTTTCACTACTGTTGTGTCGGACATTTTGTTTTCATGTGAAGGGTTGACTGACGATTTGGCTCTTGGGACATGACAATTTATACAATGGTACATTTCCTCAGTGTCTCTCAAGAGAGATTGGGTGGCACTGTCAAGACCAGTACATTCAAAGTGGGTCCAACTGCTACAGTCACTACAACCCACGAATTCATCACCTTCCACTTCCTGCTTGTTACACACGACACATTTTGTGACTGTTTCTTCACACAGTACGATCTGGGGGCGGTCGGTTTTGTTCGTGATGACTTTCTCTTGGTAGTCGCACTTTTCAGCAATGTCTGACAAGACCATATCTTGCAGTATGTTGTAGTGGGAAACTAGCCATAAGATGTAGCCCGTGCCCTGTATGAGAAGCTTGCATGTGTCGTAGATAGTGATGTGCAGGGAACCGATCTCGGTTCCAAGCCGTAGATCGGCGTCGGTGAACGTAGTACTAAACTGGACACCGTTGGTTCCTCTGTCAGTGCCTTTAACTCCATAGTAAGCCTCACACATGACCTTCCATGATGAGACAGAATCCTCAGGAATGTGTACTGTCAGACAGGAAGTGTTGTGGGTTACGGAGTCTAAGGTCACGTTTCAATGCCGTTACTTTTCCCAGTAAGGTGCTAATTGGATGTTTATCATCAAAAAGAACAAGAGAAAAATTTGCCGCTGACGTGAAAAAGACAGTTCTTCCGAAGACATTATATGGTTGGTTGGCTCTGTGTTCTCACATAGTTTCTCTTTGAGGCAGGGCATTTGCAAGGCATAATGTTGAGAGGGCTGGCCTTCAGGTGCCACCCCCTGTTCGGGAAAGGCTTCCAGCAGCGGGAAGTGACTGTCCAACTTCCCCCACGGCGACGACGGAGCAGGACTTGATGGATATCAGGGAAAGGAGGACCGAGAGATTGCAGGTAATTCAGTTCATTTCAGGTCATCCTCAAACAGGTTTAAAAAAAAAAAAACATTGAACATAATCTGTATACATACTAGTATTCATTCTGAATACCGTTGCTTGGACATTGTTTCTGTCATTACTTTTGGATCATCCATTGTCTTTTATCATTTGTTGTTGTCCACAGGGCCTTTCTGTCATTACTTAAATATCTGATAAATTGTCTTACTAGTATATCATTTGTTGTCTTAAGGACCTGGTCCACGCCATGACTCTTGAGGAGTTCTCCTCGACATTCTTGATGTTGACGTGCAGAGGGGGCGTGCATTTGGCTATATGATAAATGTATCTTGTGACTTGCACATTTCTGGTACCATAATTGACTGTTTGCCGTTGATCCCTTAATAATATAATATTTTACTTGCGCTGTTAGGAAAACATCTGCACTAGACAATTTGTGATGTGTCTACAAGGCTATACAGTAGTGGCGCTTGTGTCATTTACCTTAATTCTTTTTTTTTTCAATACAGGATTCCTTCACAAGATCAGTGTTGTGTCCAAGACCCTGCCAACCATTGTGCTGAGGGGGGGGGTCTTCGTGTTTAAGTGCATTGGCCAGACGATCGAGGTCACGCGTAACAAGATCGACAAGAGCAGGGGAGGGGTGATGGCCATCGACGAAGCATACCGCCTAGCACAGGCTGAGACAACATCCTAAAGGACGTAGGCAAGGAAGCCTTGGAGGAGCGAATGAGTATGATGGAGGATGCAGGCTACCAATAGATGACTTAATTCCTGGAGAGGAGGAAACCGTAGATTTTTTGCGACCAAAAATGAGATGTTTAGGAAGCGGTGAGCACAACACCCTGCGACGGCGGACAAGGTGGTTGTCGCTGGCCCTGACACGACTGACACTGAGAGGTCAGTGAATGTGTTATAAATACTTTTCTTTCCTTATTTTCAGCATGTCACCCCTTAAATCCATGCCATGGTGTACCATGTGCCGCAGTTTCTCAAGAAGTACAACTATATCAATGGTCTGTCGTGTGAAAGTGTTGAGCAGGCATGCATAATATATTACATTGAAAGTAGTAAGAATACAGATGTAACTTGTCACATACGTAAATCACATAAAGGTACTCATTCTAACGATGTGCTTTAACCATTGTCAGCAGCTTTGAAAAAAAAAAAGTAATATATGACTTTTTGTAAAAACAAACTTGAGGTAAGATACTAATAATGCTATCTCCATCTTAGAAAAACCACACACAGAACAGGAGGTTCCATCATGGCGGCCAGAGGAGCGGCAGAGGCCGCAAGTGGACATCAGGTGTGCTGGTGTCTGCGTTGCCTTATCTTTTATCACCTTCCAATGAACATAAAACAGAAACAAGCACAAACCATATATGTCTCAACCTGAATCTGCACAGGTCATGGAGTACGAAAACAGGGATCTGTTTGCTGTTCTCAACAATGTAGACAGGAAAAAGGCCATAATGGGACCAAATTCAGCACAAAGAAGAGCCAACTTGCAAGGTTGATATATCGTATATTTTACCCATCTACTTATAACTGGCCTCTAGCTCTGTGCTGTAAATTATACAGTTTATACTACCAACTTGAGCAGGGACCCTGCTTACTGATCAGCCCGCCAACGGAAATAAGGCATTTGTTCCCTATACAGAAGATAGAACATCCTTCGTCGGCGGACGTGGATGAAACTTTGCCCCGGACATAGATTCTCGGGATAGTGAATGTTCTTCCCAATCCTACCAAGACACCGTCTGTCGTCTTGGTAGGATTGCAAGACGTCAGCATAAAGATTTATCAAAGTGATAGGTGGGGTTAAAAGTCGACACCTGTAGTATCTGATTCGTTGGAAGGTTTGGGTCGGTGGTACGTTTTAGGGGTCTGATGTATTGATTGGTGATGCATATAGAGTAGATGACGTGTTTTATGAAGATTGGAAGACAGTAAATGGGCGGTGGTCAAAAACTGGTATAAGTTGGCATTGGAAACAGGGGGAGAGCATTCCCTATTGAGGAACGAGAACCTGCGACAACCTACAACAACTTACGACAACATGGCATCGTCGAACGCATGCAAGCCATGTCCACCCAAGCGTAAGTCTACGTCAAAGAAGCGGCAGGGGGATAACAAGGCACGGCGAAAGTTGGACATGGGGGTGGACCCCCAGCCCATCCCCGTAGAAGCACTGGAACCAAGCCTTCTAACCAGCACGATGGAGTCGAACGACTTCATAAAGCTATTGGAGGATATTGAAGAGGAGCAAGCGATGTTTGACATCACCTCATCGTGTCTGCCGGGCCCCGTCGCGCCCCCGTCGGACGGAGGGTTGCAACCGCCGCAGCCACCGTCGCAACAGCACCCGCCACAGCAGCAGCAGCCGTACGGTCGCCCAGTCCCAATATTCATGCCGACCACGGTTAGCACGGTTGGGGCGTACGGTCTGGGACCGACGTTCGACGCCAATCAACTCACCGGCGTCGGTCAGCAACTTGTCAGCCAACCCGTCTCTACGAGTCACTCCGTCTCTGCGAGCCACTCCGTCTCTGCGAGCCAGCCCGTCCCTGCGAGCCAGCCCGTCCCTGCGTGTCAGCCCGTCCCTGCGAGCCAGCCCGTCGCTGTGAACCAGACGCCATCCGCCGACGCCATGAAGGAGAAGAACCCCACCCCGTACAAAGGGGGGTTCTACACCACCACTGGGGCAAACTCCGAAGAGGTGAGACTACCTCTGCAGGATGATATATTCCTGACGGTCGGGTTCTTCAATAATCGCCCGCTGATATCGGTCCGTCACTTTTACACATCGGTGACGGACCGCACCACTCTGAGGCCCGGAAAACGCGGCCTTAGTCTAACGACGACTCAATGGGACGCTCTAAAGAACTCGGCAGTGTATGGTTCAATTATTGATATGTGCTTCCCAGGTCTACCTGCAACTACAACACTGAAACCGCGCATGTTTTCGCTAGGCTCCATGCGTTATGTAGTCGTTGAGTTGGTGCAGGGGCAGCCTAGCATAGGAACCCTGTATCAGTATGAGGGTGGTGGTCAGGCTGCGGGGGGTAGTGCTAGCGACGGGAGTAATCTGCGTCGTACAGTGAAGGGTATTTCCCTATCGTTAAAAAACTGGGAAGTGCTGGAGCAACGAAAGTCAACCGTTGATTGGATCTTGGGCAACATGTCTGCAGGAAAATCGCCAATCGATTGGCATGTAATTGAACGTATTGACTTCTAAATCTACCTATAGTTGTCTTCAAAAAAGTCAAACCTAATATTTTGTATTAGTAATTTCTTAGTACATGTAGTTCTTTGTATAACCTATCTGTTATCTGTTTTAAACACGTTTCTCTTGTTCCTGTCCTCGGGGTAAGAATTTGTAATAAACATTTTCTATTAATGAAGATGATGATGATGATTATTGTCAATAAAGGTCCCTGCACCATGAATGTAGGAGAGAGGATTGAAAATTGACCTGTGTCCGCCGCAGTGTTTTGAATGATGAATGGATGTGATTGAATGGGTGAATACGGTGGCGTGTCTGAATATAAAAGAGTGCGTGTGCCTGGATATAAAAAAGTGTAAACGCATGGGTGTGGAGCAGTGTGTCAGTCATGGCATGTAATAAGAAGGTCGCGGAGTCGTGTTACTGTGTAGAGAGGTTTTGTCGTAGGTGTCTAACACAATGCCGGATATTGTGTTCTATACACGTTGAAAAATGTGACCGTTGTGTGTTATCTGTAAAACCCAACTAGCTTCGCGCTGAAAAGGATGAACAGTGCCTTTGGTGCAGGCGGCGAATGCCGGGGTGGTTTGCCCACCGGATCTGTGAAAGCTGTTCTGAGATGACCGCTGACGTCGTAAGGAAAGTTGAACGTCTGCGTATAAAACATACCTCTACACTACGTGAAACAATAACAGTAAGAAAAACCAGGGTCATTTTCTATAACTATATGACAATATAACTTGCACTGTCATGCAGCCCCTGAAGAAACGCAAGTTGAATCGGAAATGTAAAGGTTGCGGACTGCTCGCACGGGATCATCCAGGCGAAGTCACGTCAAAATACTGCACGGGGCCCCCGCCACCAACGACGATAGAGTCGACAGAGACGGCAGAACAGACAGAACATGACCTCGAAACGCTCCAGGAGCAGCACAAGGCCTTAGCGGCGGCCATGGAGAAGGCCAAGGAGGTACGAGACATGGAGCCAGCTTTGCGGGCACTTAAGACGTCGGCACCGCCACTAACCACCGGTACTATGCCGCTCGGCGGGACTCCAGTACCACCACTACCCACCCATGCTTTTCCATCAACCCGACTTCGATGTATCTGGGCTGTATTCTACCCTAGGTTAAATATCTTTGATCGTACGTATTCATGATGTAAAGTAACGTTCAAGTGCCTTTACTTCGTCTTATCATGTTTATAGCTTCGAAGTGTAAAAAATACATTAAGTGAAACCATTGTACTGAAACTAAATGTGTAGATAACTCTAGCTTTACAGTTTATGTGCATAGTAGTTGACTCGTGTGTGTGTGAGAACTTTTGTTTCTTTGCGTAAATAAACACCAAGCGTTTGATACCCAAAACTGTTGTCTTATCTATTGCTAGCCTAGTCCTCAAACTCTAGTGCCTTAGACTAGACAGGGATTCAAAAATGAATGTTTAGTTTCGATGTCGTCGGTCACTAATAGGCAGTAAATTAATGTAGCCGTTTCCTACACCACCAAAGATACTAGCATCATCAAAGGCGAATGTGAAAAAAAGAAGGTTGGTCCGACGGAAAGAAAGATATGTCTTGCAGAGCGTAAAAGGAAACACAATTGTTAACCAGGACTTGTTCAGTGCATAAATGAGCCATACCACTGCCAGGCATTGCCCTAGCAGGCCCAAAGGCATCCCAATGCTGAAATGTGTGAAAGAAAGGATGGGCTTTGCCAGCACATTGCTTGCAAATTGCTATCAGTGCAGTGCTTGAGAAGAAAAAATCCTGGCGGCTTTGCAGCCAAAGATCAAGGGGCCAAGTCAGAGGATGCGACACGAGACCAATATTCAGGCTTTTTGGGGCTTTATGTCTGTCGGTGATGGGTACACCAACATGAATGAAGTCATGTACTGTAATGGGAGTCCTCACGCCTTGTGAGAAACAGAAAACACTATTGGACACATGTGGGGAAAGGAGCTAGCCAGTATGTCGTTGTATTAATGGAAACGTAACGAAAATCCACTGTAACACATTGAATCCTACCTATGTTTTGTACTTTTGTATTTGTTGGCTATTAATGCCAGAACAAACGTAGTGTCCATTTGGATAACGCCTGGCCTACTTGCATTATGTACACGACCGCTAAACCCAACCAAGAGTTAACAAACTGACAGTCTTAAATGGCAACTAATTGAATGGAAAGTAACTTAAATGTAACTTATGTCAATCATTCATAGTGTGCCTTTTAAGGGAAGATGGCGGGCAGAAGGCACATCACGTTGTGTGTTACACCAGCGGGTGAGGATTACATCAGAGGATTCATCCAGCACTTTGGGTTCGAGGAGGGAGACGTGGTGGAGGTCAACAGCGGCCCACACCGTTTTTATACAGGAAAGGCTACGGGACAAAGGCAAACCTGAAAATTGAATTGAGGCACTAACATCCAACAAACCCACCTAACTAAGCTGAACAAGCCTCCACTGAGCCAGAGGCACAGTCCCCGAAGTCTGGGTTTCCAAGAGGCTTGACAGCTTTCAAAGATAACCTACGTAACTAACACACCCCGAGTAAGCTGGATGTTGTGCCATTCCCAATTCTATTTTCAAGGACAGACTGTGTTTTCTATAAGTGTTTCTGGCTGCTGAAATGTTTATCCTGATGAAGACTTCAGTTCAGGTACCACCAGACCCATGTTCCTGGCTGACACGTCTGTCTTGCCAATCCTCTCTGGGATGACCTATACAAAATAAGAAATAATCTTGTACGGAAATGTATTTTACATGCAAATTACATCAACATGTGAAAGAAGGCATATTTAACCATGTGCATAGTACCTAGTAGCGAGATGTACACATACTACATTCAGTACAATACATTCTGATAGAACTCCAGTACATGCTTGTTGAATCTAAAAAACCTCCACACTGTTGAAGTGTAAAGCAGCTGTCCTACAGACCCCTTGTGGTCTAGCTAGTATATTAACAATAGGCAGCATATATCAGAATGCAAATGTCCGATTAACTAGTAGCTGGATTCTGGGCTCACTGAGAGTGAGATACTTTGTGTTCAGTGTGTTATGGGTTTCGCACCCAGGCTTATGTCCATTACACAGGTTTATTTTCAATCTCATTATAACGACGAATTTAATCCATATAGAAATCTGTGCATATTGGCGGCCAAGCTGTACACGTTACTTCCCTGGTTGTTTGTGTTCACTATGAATAATTCATTGATTCAGTAAACACAAAGAACACAACCAAATGCAGTACAAACTGGCGTGTACGCGCACTAAAATATTCCATAAATACATTACAGGCACATTGCCCAGTACAGAAAGCAACAAAGGCTACTTTGCAAGCATAAATTAGCGAGAATTTCGATAAAAACTATGGCTTTCATTTCCAGTACATGCGTTTACCACGCCACGAATTATCCCTCGATCTGAACGCCAAAAATGACCCTTACGAGAAAGACGGCCCTCAATAGTAACAACTACAAGCCTAAACACACTCTGAAGTAGCTATTCTGTACGACAACTGCATGTTTTCGACAAAAAAAATCCTCAGAGAAACAAAGACAAGCAAATCCAACCTCACCTCACAAAGGCCGCCCTGCACTGACGCTACACTCTGCAGACGATCACAGCATACCAATACATGTAATATCCATCCGCTCCGACATCTGGAAGGTCACATCGTAACAAATAAAGCGCAAAAATATCCTCTGTCAGCCCAAACCTTAGAGTCTTCATACCAGTATGTGTTAATTGTCAAATTAACTACATATTTGACATATTTGTTACTACAAACGTGTCCTGTTTGTCGCGCACTACTTTATGGCGGCAAATGGATACATTCTGTCTGGATGGAGATATTCGGTGGAGCTTACCAAAGCCTGGAGGCTTCTTAGGGGTTTTACAAAGCACCGTTCTATACAGCATTGTCGAGCATACCTTATATACTACACATCAACCCTCCACGAATATTTCTTTAAAAATTCACAATGCGAAACATTCCATAAAAAAACAAGGCCGATCCGAATCGCGGACTCAAACTGAAATAAACGTTTTAATTGTACATAGAATTAAAACGGCAAATTATGCTCTACGCAAAATGCGCTAATTACGCTGTACGTTGAATTGCGCAGAATTAAATCGGCCGAATACGGCGGGAAAAGGGCATGCGGCTCCTCATCAAATTATCATTAGGTTTATCCATTTTACTGTGCTAGATTATGGCACATCAAACATCTCTCTTACACTAGACCTATGATTTCGTCATCAAATGAGCATAAATAATGAATATCTAATTCTAAAATAATATATGACTTACTTACTTGACTTAAGTCGGGTGCCACTCTTCCTCTGCCACCCGAACCACAATGGCTGCCCAGTTGTCTCTGGGCAGTCATTAATCATAATTAATGTTAGAAAGGAAGTGTAATTAAATACAAAACCCAGAAAATTTTAATGTTTAAACCAAAATTGTCTAAAAACCGCCTGTCACAAACCCGTTGACATGGCAACACGAAAATCTATTAACTTATCGATATATCATAGGAAAAGCGCCGTTCTAGCGCCAGACGTTTAAGCGCTATCTGAGATGCGGAATAAAAGGTTCATACCAAGAACTTGCTCTGCCACTGATTCTGGGGAAGAAGCCATTCAACATGCCCAGAAAAGCAGACAAAATTGCTTTGATAAATAATGCAAAAGAACAAACTCTCAAAGAGTAGACTGGTCAAGAACGAAGTCGCAATTAAATGTGACGAAAAACCATGTAATACCAGAGACTTCCAATGTTTGTTCAAAAAATACTCTAATCATATTAAAGCCCATCACAAGAATAAACAAATCGCTCTGATGTGCTTATCATCAACTTGTACTCACCTAAGCAAGTCCCCCTCGGAGTGGGCTTCTCATATATGTATTCAGCATCCAAAAGAAGTCCTGCGTACACGACTTGCAGGATTAGAGGTCAGCAAAGGGTGGTTATACTGGCTACACAGATACAAGTACAGATAGGATGGTGTGTGTGAGGGAGGGGAAGAAGAACGGTAGACCAACGAAGACAGGGAGCACATCAGTGTTCTGGCAAAAGGTAGCATCAGTTCTGCAGGTTTTGTTACACCAAAGGCGTGGTTCATCTAAACCTTCTTCCTCGTTGGTTTCTTTAATCAGGAAAGGCTACTTCGATGTAGTCTCACCTTACTTCTTTGTAGTTTTCTTATGACTTTACGGCCTGAAGGGCGATCATCTCTCGAGCTACTGCAGCCTTTGAGGAGGATAGGAGGCAGCGTCTTCATGCTGCAAGAGTCAGACGGCACAACGCAGGAACGTCAGCAGTTCTGACGCAAGATCACAAAGTGTGGACGGCTCTGTGCCTCAGGCTTCGGACTAAGAAGCCACATGAGGTCTCATCCCCCGTGATTGAGCATACTGACCGTCATCTTCGGCGACTCGCGAAGGACTACCAAGACAAATCATTACTTTAAATGTCAATGGAATAAGAGATGACACCATAAGAAAAGGAATATTCAGGTATATGAAAGATCAGGAGGCAGTTATAATTTGTTTACAGGAATGCCATGTTGATAGTAGTATTGAACAACAAAAATGGACCACACAGTGGGGGGGGGGGAGCGCAATTTGGAATCCAGGAAAGTCTAGTTGGTGCGCTGGTGTCGGTGTGTTACTTTCGCCCAATACAGAATGGCACTATGATTGTGTTGGTAAGGACCAGAATGGAAGGATAATAACTTGCACCATTATTAAGGGAAGGAAAAGGTTTAAACAGTGCAACAAAATATAAAATGCACCCGTTCGAGGAGCGGAACGGAAAGAACTTCCTGTATATCTGCACTTATATCTGCACGGTACCGGTAGTAACGGCTCCGACTTAATAATATGTGGTGACTTCAACTTTGTTGAAAACCAGACTTTCGATAAATCAGGAGGGAATCCTTTGACGGGTGCTATAGGTAAAGAGGAAATTGAATCCTTATGTCAACAGTATGTATTTGGAGAATGAACGTCTCCATTCTTGATGATCGTACTTGCCGACACGAGTATGAAGAAGCATTTCAATTTTGGTGCCTTTTAAAACCATACTTTGTAAATGAAAGAGAATGGTGGGATATAATCAAACTGAAATATAAGAGACTGATCATTAAACACTCTTGTAGAATAGCACAAGAAAGAAGGCAACTGAAGGATGACTTAACAAAACAAATTGAAGACCTTACACTTAGTTTAGCGATGCCCAATGCATCATTGGCACCAACAACGGCCACGATGGATTTGGCACGAGCCAAGAAAAAGATGAACATACATGTACTAAAAAAAGAATAAGACGGGGTCAGAATAAGGTCAAGAATCCAATGGATAGAAAAGGGGGGAGAAACCAACTGCTTTCTTTCTAAATAAGAAAATTAAAAGAGGTAAAAAGAAAGTAATAGAACAAATAAAAAAGAAAGATGGTAACATAGTGAAAACCCAAGAAGAGGTCTTGGGTGTGTTCAAAGAATTTTATACTGCTTTATTTTCTGAGGAAATAATGAACATGGAATATTCGAATGTCAAGACAAACTTTTGGATCAAATTGATAATATGTTACCCACCGAAATAATGGAATCACTTGCTAGTAAAGAGTATTTAAATGTCTTGAAGGGTTTAAGAAATAATAAGACTCCAGGGGAAGATGGATTGTCTACACAATTCTACATTAATTAGTGGCCTAAAATAGGTGAACATCCTGCCCAGGTTCTAAATGAAGGGTTGGAAAAGAGGCTATTGTCAACATCTCAAAGTGGAGGTGTAACAACGTTGATTACTAAGCCTGCAGACCATTTAGAAGTCAGGAATAAAAGACCTATCTCATTGTTAAATGTAGATTATAAAATTCTCTCAAAGGCATTGACTAATCGTTTAAAACATGTTTTGAAATATGTAATACATAAGGATCAAACTTGTTCGGTATCAGGAAGGAAAATTGCTGACAATAATGCTTTAACGGTGCACACACCAATTCTTCCGCGACAGGGGTCCACTGTAGTGCCCGGAAAAAAAGTGACGAAGGGGTTCCGGTGGTTCATGTTTGAGTTTACATTTCTCATAATCTGCTGCAAAATGGGATTAACTACTAACATGGCTGGAAAGTGTAAGAAGTGGCGTGTTTTGGGTGAAAATTGATTTCGGGCCCGAGGCTTACTTCCGGGTGTCCTTCCGCCCTGAGCGCGGTGCTTCGGTTTGACCTAGTTTTGCCTTGTATGCGTTCTGGGGGTGCTGTAGCTATGCCTCGCGCGACGCGCTATTGTGATAATCTCAGTGTTAGGATTTTCTTTATACTTTTCTTAATAATACATAAGGGTTTTCTCTTTCCGACCATATAAGTCATATCGGTGGCTAAAATCTGGGTGATGGGTTTCATTCCACGTGAAAATGGCCAATTTTTGGCATCATTTTTCATCAAAAAATTCTTTTTCCCCCTAAAATTTACTAAAATGTGAGAGGGGAAAGAAATTGAAATTCTATTGTTCTCGTAGCTAGAGGGATATCCTTCATTTAAAAACAGAGTGTTTTGGCTTAAGAGGTATTTCCTGAAAGAGACGGTCGCTAGAGTTGAGGGTATGCAGAATCGAATTGAGACCCAAAATAAACTGGGGTGTGCCCCCTTATATTGCAAAATTTCTGTCAATGGCCATTTATCTGACCAAATGCGGGGCATGTTTATTTATTTATTGTTTGACTCAGGCAAAGCCCATATACAACGTTGACAACACAAAATACATAAATTTAAAAATACGGTGTCTGGGATAAAAGAAACGGGGCCTATTTAAGGTCTGCATACCAGCTGGCAGTACCTACGCCAGAACTGACTTCTGGGGAAGGCATCAGAGCGTAAGAGCAAACTGATGATGCCGTTACCGGACGTCAGGAGGCGAGCCGCAAAAGAGTGCGTCAGCTTTCGCCTCCTGGCGTCGAAGGTGTCGACACCCAACTGGGCAAAGAACAAGCTGTTACTGGTGAAGCGAGGCTGAGACATAATGATTTTGAAAGCATCATGGTAAGCAACCCGCAGCCTCTGCAACACACCTGCGCTATGATTGTTCCATAGTTGTACGCAGTACATGGGGGAACAATGTGCTACAAAGAGTATACGCTTAACTTCAGCGGAACAGTTGCCGAAAGTTCGGATTAAAGAGTTCGCTTTTGTGTACAGCTGGCGGGTTTGATTACGGATGGAATCGTCGTCGGAAAGGTCCGGTGTAATTTGGTAGCCAAGGTAAGTGACCGAAAGCACATAGGGCAGTGGTGTGCCGTACAGTTTCACAGATGGTGGCGTACTACATGTAGGCAAGCGGCTTCGGTGACAGGGGAAAAACATACAGTTCGTCTTCCTGTCACAGAAGGTCATATCATTTTCGGCACCAAAAGTCTCACATACATGAATAAGTTTCTGTAGCGCCTTCGCCGAGGGACATATCAGGCAAAAGTCGTCGGCATACAAAAGGTGATTTACAGGGACTCTGCCAATAAAGCAACCCACATTGGCAGCGTTTAACTTAACGGTAAGGCTCGTAACGTATGCATTAAATAGTAGAGGGGAAAGTAGACTCCCCTGGGGAACACCGTTGCCGAAGCAAAAGCTATCCGGAACGGAAGATCCCCAACGCACCCTGAGGGATAACATTTGAAACCAGTAAACTATAATACGTACTAAATAGACGGGTACATTTCTATCAAGTAATTTCTTATACAGAGTAAAATGATTAACTCGGTCAAATGCCTTAGAGGCGTCAAGAAAGCAAACAAATACAGAAGAACCTCGGCTTTTGAAGTAAGAGATTATCTCTTTGAGTGCGAAAATACACATGTCTGTCCCATGGTGTTTTTTAAAACCGAATTGATTCGCCGGAGATAATAAGTGCTTCTCCAGGCGACTGAGGAGAAGGGATTCAAATAATTTGAAAATGGGGCTGGAGATTGCAATGGGGCGATAATTATTCTTAAGTGAAGGATTCAGGTTTTGTTTCTTGATTATCGGAATGAGAATTACTCTTAACAAGATCGGGGGGACATGGCCGTGCACTAACATAGCAGAAAACAAAAGCGAGAGCAGAATCGTAAGCCGAGGTCCCGCATGCTTCAGATGCTCAGCTGAAAGACCGTCAGAATCACAGGCCTTCCCGTTCTGGAGCCTGTTGATTGCTGCGAATACCTCAGGTGCGGGTGCCGACATTCCCGGGTCATAGCTGATATCTGAGTGAATTATGTCATCTACGGATTGTTTACAATCGTTGGGAGCAACAGAGTTCAACAGAGAGTCGTAGTGACGCCTCCACATGCTAGTGATATCAGCCGTACCAGTGTGGCCGTCAATGTTACAGGGGAGGTTAGGCTTGGTGCCATTTTGAGACCGTAGCGTAGACCAGAAGCCTACTTGACCCCCTTTATGCAAACCAGAGGCGAGCGCATCTGCCCTGTGTAGAGCCTCCGCGCGTCGACACTCTCTTAAAGCAAGTTTAAATTTTGCCCGAGTTGATCTCATAAGGTTCCAAATGGCCCCATGCCTCGGTCGATTGAATTCTCGCCACATAGAAAATGCATCTCGAGCAGCAGAATGGTACTCTTTGACGACGGAATTCCAACCAGGTATCGCGTGGGAGGTGCCACATTTTCCTGTGGGGAGGGATGTCGTAGCTGCACTTTTTAAGAGCTCCGACTATAGCAGAGGTAAAGTTATCAAGAGAAGTTCTGTGGTCATTGTTCTTACAATTAGGATTTTGACACAAAAGAGCATTGTTTGGCAAATGGATTTCAGATAAGAGGGCATCGGCACAAATTTGATACCGTGCCAGGTCAGAGGGGGATGCACGTTCCCAGTTAAATCTCTTTGGCGGTGGAATTCCGTCACCAGCTGTGTTTGTAAACACAGGGACCGATGTCCGGTCAAATGAAACCCAGAGAGGAAAATGATCGGATGAGACAAAATCATACAGAACACAAATTTCTGAGATACTCGCAGACATGGTATCGGAGCAGACGCAATGATCAAGCCACGACGTCGACCCGTGAGCTTCGCTAAGGTACGTAAAAGTATCCTCAGGGAGAAGGTCGATGTCGCTTACATGGAAGTTATTATCATGACAAAAATTGTGCAACAGAGGGGAGAATATACCGTCTGGGCGCGTATTAAAGTCTCCCATGATACAGACATTAGTCACATTGGTCTGCTGTATTATAGACTCGATTTTACCTAATTTGTCAATGAAAATATCCATGTTACAAGTAGATTCTACTGGTAAATACACACAAAACAAAAGAAGTTCAAAGCTCGCATCATTATTGAT